GCGGAGAAAAATAGACTCGATTGCATTGCATATGATGACCACAGCTCAGCGGCTATCCGACGGATAGCACTACGCTGCCATGTCTCCGCACCATGGGAATAAAAGAGGTCCCCATCCAAAAATGTCTGGCTTTGGAAGATTGCAGCATTTAGAGAGAGAATGGGGAACATGCAACAAGGAACTATTTTCGTGTACGTTTGTCGTATCTCAATCAGGGATCACAACCACATACCTAAGGTCGACGCCAAGGGGGTTCTTGTTGAGAATACAATGACAAGCTCTGCCTGCATAAGGCAACCACGTCGGCAGAGCTCGATACTGCGTTGGATACACCCGGCACCATTGGACTATCGTCCGTTATAGTCCAACACAATCCAACCATATAATAGTTTAACTCACACTGTCATTAATTTATATGTTGGGGTGTATAAAATTCAAATCTCATCGTGCATACACTTATCGGACCTCGTCGAGGTTGGGGAAGATGGTAATCCACTGCCATTCGTCGCCCAGATTGTGCACTTGGTAGGTCGGAGCAATGCAAGCAGGAATTGCAACCGCATACCTAAGGTCGACACCGAGGGGGTTCTTGTCGAGAGTACAATGACAAGCTCTGCTTGCATAAGGCAACCTCGTCGGCAGAGCTCGATACTGCGTTGAATACACTTGGCACCGTTGGACCATTGGCAGTTATGGTCCAACACAGTCCAACCATATAAAAGATTATCTGACACTGTCATTAGTTCAGAGATTGCGGAGGAAGTAAAAGCAGTCAAAGGCTACATGCCACCACCAAGGTAGGGCAGAATTATAGTATATTGCAGCTGGTTCTCGAGTAGGCGACGGCGGTTGGTCTCAACAACTTAATATTGTATTGCCACGTCTGATGGGTGTTGCAATATGTGCAATTTCGGTGACAAGCTGGCAAGTGATTGTGACTAAGCTGTCACGGTTGTGCATTTGACGGTTTCTATCCAACTAAGTCCAAGTATTCAAAGCTTGCTCATGAGGGGTACAAATGTGATGATTATTGTGCATATTTTAGATCAGATAAAGCCTTCTAATGATTTATCATTTTCGGGTCGTTTACCTGATGTCTGTTGTCCCATTGCGCTTGGTCTGCTTGAGCCAACGTAGCGCACATAAGTTCCTGTTGCACGATAGTATGAGCAAATAATAAGCGAAGAAAGATTGATGCATTCGCACTCACCGTCCGTTTTTCGCGTTGCCTGGGCGCATTTTTGCCTTGCTACCGGTCTTTGGGGTTTTCCTAGTAGACTCGGAGGGAGCAGGAATGCTCCCTGCATCCGTTGGTTCGAGTTCGGTTCCTGGATCTAGTAGGGACAGTGGGATACTCGAGAGAGCTGTAGTAGGTGGTATTACAATATTGGATGCAGCTAGTGCGAGCGTAGATCTGTTTAGCATGGTTAGTAGTGAGAGCGCAAGCAGTATCATCACGGAATCGGGCTGGAGATGCTTTAAATAGATATTTATGCCAAAATCAAATAAAAAATGCGCAGATTATATCCAAAGACAGAGTATTGTAAAAACATCAGCATTATAACGTCAAACAACAATACATTGCAAGAGGACTTCAATTCTGATGAAGCATCGTAGGTCTCGCAACTGTGACAGTCAGCAGATAAACACTTGAAGGAAGACCCGCATCTCTGCAAAATGATGGTCACCCGCTGTACGAGCTTGACTTCGTGGTGGCTGTTTGTAATCAGATGCAGTCGGCAGACGAGAGCTACAGTATCCTTATAATAGTTATGCATTATCGTCATCCCTCACCGTTGTGGAGTGTCTATGCAAATGCTTTGCAATATCCTCACAATATCCTCGCAAAATTTACGTTGTACTGAACGTTTGAACCTGGGCCAGTGAAAACAAGACTTACAAAAGCGAATTTTTCACCTAAGAAAAAAAAGCGCCGCGGTATGATAGAAGTCAGCCCTTGCTCATGATTGAAAAAAATCTCCCGGAAGATGAGATCTGCAGCCGAGCGACATGCTTGTGAGGTATCGAGCGTTGAACACAAGGACATAGAATATACATTAAAACCATCGAGGTATGAGTGTCGAACACAAGTACATAAAATATACATTAAAACCGTTGAAAAGCAACTGCGCGGGTGCGCAAGGAACGAAAGAGCAGAAACGTCCAAATCGGCATACAATGTACCCCGTTCTACATGCCATAGGCGTAGCTCTGATAAGGATCATTCAATGACCCGGCAACACCGACCGTGCCAAAAGGGCTCACGTTAGCATATCCAGCAACGCCCGTATAGCCAGTGGCTTGGGTATGAGGGGGTGTCAGGCTCGTGCTATGAGGAGAGGTGCCTTGCAAGACATATCCGTCGATCGAACGCGCCTGAACACCGTGCATTTGGGGACCGAGGCGAGAATGGCCGTAGGAGCCTTGCGCTTGGATACCATACAAGCCTCCCTGGGCATAGACATCAGCAACACTGGTAGGGTGCATTCCCTGGGGGATGTACCGGGCCCCTGCATTGTGGTGACCGTGACCATGATAACCGGGGTTGCCACCGTAATGGCCAGAGTTGCCCATGAGCATCATGCCATAAGGGGCATGATAGCTGAAGTTCTCGACGTTGGCCTGTTCCCGCTGCAACACGGTTTGGATCGTAAGGAGTGTTGCGGATTAAGGGAAGGACTGGGCGAATGCTTTTGAGGAGGAGCATACGCTGCGCAGGATCGGCATAGTCTAGCGCGGTCTACAAGAATGTCCAGCCCAAGCGACAAATGCACAAAAGAAAAATGGTACCTGCACACAATAGTTGCCATACGAGTCGCGAAGTAGTTTCTCCAAGCGGGAGCGGTTGAGTAGCTCTTCAATCGAAATTTTCCTGGTACTGTGTTCGGCCACACAAGATGCACCAGTCCCAGTCGGCATGAAAACGTCCATCAAGATTTAAAAAAATGCTCACTTTTTGAACGAGCGCCAACGCGTTATAAGTGATATCGCTCACAAGCTGGATGCGCTGGTGGTCCGAAGCATGGTCAATGCAACGCTGCAGAACCCAGCATCCATGGGGGTGGGTAGCGACCTGCCCAATCAGATGTGGCGCGATGATAAGTCAGCTCGCTCGTTCAAGCATCACTCACCTTTGATAACCTCTTCTCGAGCGAGGGAACCCACATAGAACGCATAACTGGTGGAATCAATAAGATATTTTTATTGATTGGGGTCCGGGGCGCTGATAGGTCAATGTTCGGGTTGATCGTAGTGCAGCACCAAGAAGGATGTTTCTGTGATTGATGGCGGGAAGAAAGGGTGTTGTCGATGGTCGCTGCGTCGAGAACTCGAACTCAACATCCACTGGCAAGTCTTTCAAACTCCGATTTATTTACTGTCTATGATACTAAGTCGAGATCACCAATCGTGACTCGTTGTCACACGGGAGAAGCACTGAGAAGCAACGAAGTTTTTAGAATGAATATGAAACGCTAAGATATGATGAAGGAACAGCTAGAATCTCCCTACGACGTACAGAAGGCTAATATGCATCGTTCGCGGTCCGTTAGCCATTAATGCGTTGCTCCAATACAGGAGTCGTTCCTCGTCACCGAATCAGGCCAGGACCGAAACTGGCTATCGTCAACGGAAGTATGAGGCCCGCTCCAACAACGAGCGCCAGCACGCATCCAATCCTTGCAGACAAAGATAGTCCGAATTCAGCAGTAAATACACCTGCCAGAAATCCGAGGATGGAAAATCCCAAACTGCAGTGGTCCCCGTGAGTAATGAGACATTTTGATCCAAGTTTTAATTACCTCGTCAGGTACAAAAAACTCGGTATACTTGCGATGATAGCAAGACTGGCCATCTTCTCCTGTAGATAATACACCTGTCAAGTTGATAACGTCAGGCCCGTGTTACGGAAAATGAAATCGTTCGAACCGCAAAGTCAAGGGATCTTAACCTGTGACCAAAGTGTTGTGCTATTGCGCACCCGATAATACAGTAGAAACTGAGAACGAAGGAGATAGAGCACATCGTTTTCGTGGTAAGTTGCGTGCCCAAACCTGGGACAGCAAGGATGCTGGCGTTGACGGCCATGATGACACTTGCCTGTCAGAGCAGACGAAGTCATAGTAAGCATGTTCATTTAGGTCCGCGACAGAGCACTTACCACGGTGGTTTGAGCTTTAGCCTGGGCACTGAAATTGTCAGTAAAACTCCTTATGTCCACCACATTCACGAGACCATCAACGTAAATCGTTTTAAGGCGTCTAAGCATCATCAATGGAATCCAAAGCATGGCGGCTGCAGCGCCAGCGATCAAGGGAGAATCTTCGAGGTCTCTGCGTTTTTCGGCCAGTGAGTGCATTCGTATCAGGCGAGCTTCGGGTTGGCCATAATGGTTCAGGTATTCGTGATGACCTGTTTTGATCGCTTGATTCAATGACGTATGGTATGAGAAAACGGGATCGTACGGAGCATATGCAATATTTTGCCTCGCGAAAGATAAGTTTTCTGATTGCCAGCTACCTTAAAGCTCACGCACCACATATTGCAACACCTGGTCCCTTCATGGTCCCATCAGGTTCTGCAAGTTCCTCTGTGTCAGTCATCAATTTGATAATATTAATGTGGGTTGAACGGTGAAGATAAAGGTACGTGCCAGCAATGATCAGCTCATCGGTCATTTCCTTCATCTGGTCCAGAGTCCAGAATATTGAAGCCGCTGTTGACTGTTCAATGGCCAATGCTTCTGTTTGTTGTTGAGGTACTTTCGATCGGGCTCTATAACGCTAAATAACTCACCTACGCGATACCAGTTCAGCTGAATTCGCAAAGCTCTTACTTCGGAGAGGGGTATTGTGATTTCGTGAGGAAAATATTCGGCATGTTTCCTACTCAATCAGTAAGAAACGTTCCGTGTCAGTATAACAATCGCTTACCAAAATTGAGCCTCCAGTTCGAGTCCTGTACAATCAAGTCTAAGAATCAATGGACAAAAAAGGGACGTACTTTTATGATTCCAGTGCGATGCCATAGATTCCTGGAAAAGAAGGTAGCCATTCACTGGCTCCACCCAGGTAATGATATGATTTTCTGGGACGACGTAATAGTACGGATAGACTTCCTTCTCTTGCACTACGATCGGCTCCACGACTAGCAAATATCCCTTTCCGTTTAGCTTGGCTCTTGACGCTCTGACCCAGGACTCAAGCCTCCGGAGCCGTTCCTCTGAACAAGTCCTCAAGTTCATTTCGGCGAATGTTTTCTTTATTAGAACAAAGTGAGCGTGTAAATTCAAATACTAGCCCGCACTCACCATTCCCGCATTGTAGTTGTATACGGCTCCTGACGGGTGAACCAGCTCGGTCCAACCCCCGCGCATCTCGGACCTGTTGATGCCGCGGTTAGATCAACATCGTCAGTAACAAAGGTTACCAACTGAGGCAATTCGATCTGCATCACGTCGATGTCATAGTTGCGCTGTAGAGAATCCCTATGTCATTGTGTGAGTACTCGTGTTCGTCCTGTAATATTGACGACACTCACGGTGACCGTGCCATTTCGGTGTACCGCCCGAGTTGTGTAGGCCAGATAGGAATACTGCAATCGAGCAGCTGCGACATCTATCAAACAATTCTTTTAGCTGGGGTCTCGCTAGACAAATAGCTTTAGAGCTCGCGGTTGAACAAAGTACGTACCGTCACCGTCGTGGCCATCGTTCGTTCAACATTCACACGATGATAGTGAGGTATTGATATTTTATATTTCACGCCACGCACGATTCTGATCATAATACCTCCGCTCGGAACAACCCTGAAACCAGGGTCCATGGATATAATTAGCGAAGGCAGTTGGAGTGATCATGAGGGATATAGGATATAGTAGGTGACATATAGCAAGATCATTATGGTACTGTGCTAGTATGTATGCAGGCCTATGGAAAAATCAGACCGATTGTGATCTTGCGCGGAATCTGATATGTGCTAAATTACTGTACAATTGTTGTAGCGCTTGAAATGTGGGGGGATTTGAAGATCTATGCTACAAGCTGGATATCTCATGATGGATGATGGATATATGGGATGTGTCAGGCCCTGCTATATGCGTAAACGCCTAAGGCGTGACAATCATCCCCGAGTCCGAATCATTATAGCTATGTACATAGATGGCGTGTGTGAATCATGGTTGTGCTAATGAAATTCGCGTGACGTACCCGAAGCATTGCTCTCGCTTTATTCACAGCATGGATGAACGTTATCATTAACGTCACGACCGGAACGGCGCGTGGGCGGGACGGCGACCGATTGAACGGGACGCTGTAATATCTCGGGTAAGCCATCGGTGAGAAGTTCCTGACAGACTCACCGAAATCGAACCACAGATCAACTTGCGTCTGATAGAAATCGTTAGTTACGGTCGCTGATTACAGTCGT